CTGGTGTTAAATCCACTACCCACTCCCAGGCTGGCTGGCCACTAGTGTCTGGAGACCTTGTGACCCAAACTGACTAATTACTCTTCTTCACACATGAGAACAAAGTCCTCAGAGTAGTAAATGGCCAAAGGAACATCTAGATAATACCAATGAAAAACTTTTATTTCTTCCAAAGCAAACTGTTCTAAGACCCACAGAAAGCAAGGAATAGCCCCCCAGCCTGAAACCAAAAACATATGGAATAAGCAATACATTTTCAAGCAAAATACTACTTTTAACAACATGGAAGTACAAAAGCAGAAGCACTATTTCAGCTAGGATGAGATGCAGCCATAAAATCAGAATTCTCATCACACCACCAGCTCCATAAGGAATGACTTCCTTCATTCATTTTGCATTCAAACAACATTTACTGAGTACCTTTTCTGTGCCAGAGATGGTTAAGTATTAGAATATAAGGATAAACAAGACAAGGTCCTGCTCTCAAGTAGGGCACAACCTACCATGGAAAACACACAAATATACCAAAAGTTAAGAGTACAGTCTAATTATGAAAGAAGCTTAAGCAGATTGCAATGGCCACACAAAGAAGCATTCAGCTTAATCTAGAAAGAATCAAAGAATCTTTTAAGAGATAGTGGTGCCTTAATTCCTGGTAAATGCAAGCCTAGGAGTCAGAAAATCACTAGAATGGAGAGGAAAATTAGCAGGAGAAATGTCCTACGCATGCCAGGACCCTTAAGGAGTTTACTATCACTAGGGCCTCAAGTGCCAGAGAAATTGTGGCAGAGGAGGGACTAGAAAGGAAGATACAGAAGAGGCTAGGTCATAAAGGTCCTTCTGAGATGTTGGAGTAGAGACATACCAGGATCTAGATGTTCACCATATTTTAAGGTCAAAGGAATACTATTTACTTTTTTTTTTTTTTTTTTTTTTTTTTTAGAATTTATTTATTCACAGAGACAAAGAGAAAGAGGGAGGCAGAGACACAGGCAGAGGGAGAAGCAGGCATCATACAGAGAGCCTGACGTGGGACTCGATCCAGGGGCCCAGGATCACGCCCTGGGCTACAGGCGGCGCTAAACCACTGCGCCACTGGGGCTGCCCTATTTACTTTTAACTGGAATTAAAGACCAGCCAGAATGGAGGGGGAATTTGACTGAGGAAGACTAGAAGAGATTTGGGGCCAGTTATTTCTAATCAGTTCTATCAGGTTCATATTTATTTTTCTCTTGACTTTTTTTCCTCTCACAGGGGAAAAAAATAAAACTGAACAATTCTGTAACAAAGGCTGTGAACCTTCTGTTCGTCAAAAACATTTCTGAACAGAGTGCTATATTCTATCAAAATAGACCAAATTAGAGAGAGATGACAAATCCCTCCAGCATCTGGAGTCTTCCTAGCAGAAAGACAAAACCAGGTCTCTGATAAGACGAAAACTATAGAAACATCCTGACCATGGCCTACACAGAACATCATGCTGCCTGGCATGGGAATGCTTACAGTTCTCAAAACAAGGACATACCGAACAGTTACCTCCTGGCTTCTCCATAGAAACTGCCAGGAAAAAAACCTACCAGTGCCAGGAATGACCTTGGACTTTATAGTATGATCTACTGCCCACCAGTACTAGATAAAGACTACCTCGACAATTCTCTCACCTGTCCAGAGTGCAAACAGGTATAGGCAGCAGGCTGCCTTCCTCAACAAAGAAACTGAGCCCCTCATCCACGCATGGCACCCAGCTATATTCCTAATTAATACTACTGAGAATAGTGCCACCATTACTACTTCTAACTACACTAACAGCTACTAACAACAACACACTACTACTAACACCAAGTACTGACCACCCACAAAACACTAGGCCCTCATCTCCAGTCCTCAATACAATCTGCAGAGAAGGTTATAGTAACCCTATTTTACAGATGAAAAAAATAAAATAAAAAACAAGGCTCAGAGAGGCTAAAAGCTTACCCAGGTAAAAAGCAAGCAAGAGGTGGAGGTGGGGTGACTCTAAAGATATGCCCTCCCTATTGTACTAGGTATCTCAGAACTTTCCTAACTAAAAAAAGCAAAAACTCTGAGCTTTCTTTCCAAGAGTTCCTGAAGTTGATCCATTTGACTAAAAGGTAGTCAAATCAAAACAACATATGTAAGCTAGTTTTTATTTTCTTTGATCAAGTGGATATTCTAGATAGAGAATAAAAGGTATTTCAAAGAATTTGTTATGTGAATGCCTTGCTTTTAAATTTCTTCATTTATTTTTGGCCAAAATATAAACACAGAGAAGACAGCAAAGGATAGAATTGCATTCTACTAGATCAGAATGGAGATTAGCAATTAAGGCAAAAAAAAAATTTTTTTTTCAAATAAAATTTACATTATATTTTACACAATGAATAACAAAGGGCAAGCAATTTCAAAGAGACTGAGCATTACCTCAATCTTATTCCTCCTGTTCTAGGGGACAGCACTCCAAGTGATCAGCAGATATTCCCAGCCTACATACAGTGAACCAGACAAAGGGGATAAGCAACGCCTTCATGCTCCCAAACCACAGTGGAAAGGAAAGTGTGATGGCTTCCTGGGGAACCCAAGCACATATACAGTATTCATAAATCACTTTTCATCCAGACACACAGAAACAAAATGTTACCTGTGGTTTGTCTACAGAAATATTTAGTTAAGGGGTGTATTTAAATGAAATCATGCAAAAACAATCCCATAATAATGTAGCTAACCTTTTTCATGTAAATATATAACCAGTTTTCAATAGTCAAAATTAATACTGTATAAAAACTTCATTCAACAGTTTTACCAATTAAGAGCTTCATATACTTGAATCACTTCTTCCTTCACAGGCCTATAGCCACTTCTGAACTAAGAGCTACTATTAAAATGTCAAAAATATCACCATTGTGGAGATGCCCTACATGGTATCTCGCACAATTCAACAGATATTGGTTTATGAAAAAATTAATGATTTAAAATAGAAAAATTTTAAAGGAAAAAAGAAATGAAGGGAAATAAATGATTTTTTAAAGATTAAGGGGAAAAAAACCAATCCCAGAACGATTAGTACAACTACAGATAGAATTACCTCACATTCCACCTGAAAATTTATAGTATACTCCAGTACCTCTTAACACTAAATAAACTCAGAAGGTGCAGTGACTCTGATACTGTTTTTTCCATCTAGGATTTGATACCTCATCTACCTTCCCTACACACCAACTTTTGTCTGAATACTACAAACAGAGCTCTGGTGCACAGCTGCAGGCCTCAGAGCTGGAGTTTGCACACTGCCTTTGAATAATACAGACGAGACACAGTGTACAGACCAAACTCATTGGAGGCGGATAACACTTCTAGTGAAGATAACGTCCTGTGAGAGCTCAAATAGCAGTCACTAAGATTTAACAGATTTAACATAATGACTTCATGGCAGTAGGAGAAAACGAAGTTTCATGAATTTGGGGATACAAAGAACTTCTAACAACATAAACAGTTGGGGTCTTCACATCCCCCTCTAGAGTTGCACACATTAAACAATGACACAAAAGTCAGTGAAAAAGGGATCTTAAATTAATCTAGATTTATAAGAATTGGACTGAAAACCCCTATAATTTACATATATCACAGTGTCTAAGTTTGTCTAGCATTACAAACAATAGTCCCAGTGCTGAAAAGAAAGTATGAGTCACAATTCAAAAACAAGAGGAAAAAAAAAAAAACTGAACAGAAGAAAGCTTTGGATCCAAATAACCACACACACACACACACACACACACACACACACACACACACACACACAATTCTTTACTTAAAATATTGTCAATGACAGCCACCATTGTGACTCGGGAGTGAGAAGGAATGATTTCACACTACCTTCTACTCAGGAACAAGCTCCTTCAAACCGCCAGAAGCCCTTCCCATTCCCATCCACCTTGGTGTCCTGCCACTGATAGAGTCAGCCACATCCACTAGCAAGCACTGGAATTCAGACAGATCTGAGTCACCCACTCCCCCGCAGGAAGAGGTCATTCTCTATCGGGAAGCCCACTCTGCGAAGTTCTTGATCATCTCCCCAGGCTGCCACCACCATGGCCCACATAAAGCAGCCTACCAAACTCGGCAGCCTACCCACACACTCCTCTACACTCTCGACCTCACAACTCCGGCCTCATCCTATCGCCCAGGTGGCCAACGCTACTCACCGTGGGGCACTCTTGTGACACTCGGTTCCCCTGCCCGAGAATCTCTCAACGCCAGGATGCACCTGGGCCCCGGAGAATCAACTCCCCCGTGCGGGGCTGAGCTCCTGCCTTTCCAGGAACTGAATCCCTGGACACCCCACCCCCACCACCACCCCACTACCACCACCACCACCCCCACCCCCACCCCCACCAACCCACCCCGCCCGCAGAGAAGCTAAACTCTCAGTGCCTCTTCTCCCCAGCCAGACCCCATCTAGTCCGCCAAGTTCACAGACCTCGGGCGGCGGCGGCGGCGGGGAGGGAGAAGACCCATCCGATGCGCCTTAGGCACCAGGCACAGTGAGGCCCCTAGAATTCCAAACGCAAGCACCACCACCACCACCACCACCACCACCACCACCACCACCCCACCCCACCCCACCCCCAGCCACCCCACTACGGTCAGCCTCCAGGGCGTCCGCATCCAGCGTCAAGAGCGCACGCCGCTGGAGTTAGTCTCCGTGCCCCTGTGACTCCCTTTCCTGGCTACCACGATACAAAATAGAAGCCACCGAGGCCCCAGGTCGAGGCCAAGACCAACCCCCTCCCCCCCACCAGGCTCCGGCCACTGGAGTTTCCCAGTGAGGATCCAGCTCCCCAAGGCCCGGGCCGCGGGGACCGGCTTGCTGCCCCAGGCCGCTCAGCGCCATGGGCCCGGGCGGGCCGCGTCCCCACTCGGTCCCCATTGTTGCGGGTCCCGGCGGCCCGAGCCGGGGGCCGGGGGCCGGCACCGGCACTCACCTCCCGCGCCGCGGCTCTGGGCCGCGCAGGGCCGGCAGGGCCAAGTGGCCGCGCGTCCCGCGGCTCCGGCCTCGGCGGCGTCGGCGCCCGGCGGAGGCGGGGGTGGCGGCGGAGGCGGGAAGCGGCCGGCCAGGCCCGGGCGCCGCGGGCTGGCTCGGGCCGAGCGTCGGTCTTCTCCGGCGGCGGCGCTCGCAGGCTCCGCTCGCGGTCCGCGCCAGAAAGCGTCCCCCTCCCGGCCCGCGCGCCCGGCCGCCCGGACGGGAACACGCGCCGCCGACAGTAAAGTTCCGCTGAGAGCCGCCCGGAGGCCGCTCTCCCCCAGCGCCGGGTGAACCGTGATTCTTCCCTCCCGGATGGAGCCATCTCTGCCACAGATGACCGTTTCAGGAGTGAAAGCGGTACGAAAATACCAGGCCTGAATCCACCTGGGAACGGTTCCGGGGTGGGATCGACAGAATGGGTCGGCACCCCGCCAGCCACCTGGCTACTAAGTGCTTCGACTGAACCTGGTTCCTCTTCGCTCTTCACTTAGGGGAGGCTTGTTAGGACTGAATGAGATGATGCAAGTGCCTGGCACGGAGATGTGGGGCCCAACATTGGGGCCCGATCATTGGTGATGCTGCTAATGATGATTGCTGCTGTTACTACCATCTCATACAGAGGTTGTGCACAGCCCTCAAGGACCCTTGAAATTGATGCGCGCCCTGTAACTCTTGGTTCACACACACACACACACACACACACACACACACACCTCCTTTCTTTTCCTATTGACTGAAGCTATCTTCAGAACCCCCTAAAAGAAAAGCAGGGAAAAGAAAGGGCTTTTATAATCACTGACACGGGGACAAGAGGTAAGGATGCAGATTCTCCTCCCTTGAGTTGGGAATTGCTGCCTTGTGGGCTCTAGTTAATGAGAAGAGTGTACTGTGTCAGCTCTCTCCCTACAACCTCAGGTTTTCCTCCTCCCTGCTCCTCCTCCTCCTCCTCCTCCTCCTCCTCCTCCATCACCACCTCCTCCTCAGCCTCAGGTCCTCCTCCTCCTCCTCCAAGGAAGTGAACATCGGCAAGATGGTTTAAAAAAAAAAAAAAAAAACTCAAGACGGATCTTTTTTTGGAAGGTTTGTTTTGTTTTCTTTATAAAATCAAGAGGATAAAAAATCTTTTTCTCTTTCCCACTTCCTTTTCCTTCTAGGCCTTCACACCTCTGGATATCAGTCATAGTTATTTTCGGAACAAATTAGGTTATAAAAATCCAAGTGTGTGTTCCAAACTATTGATGGAAATTTAGATCTGCAGAGGTCCTCCAAAAAATATTATTGCTTTTCCATGTTCTCAAATGTCCCATTCTCAGTCCTGTGGCTACTGAGACTCAGGACATTTTGCCTTGATACCCTTCTCCCTTGTCTGAAGGGACTTTCCAGAAAGGCTCTGATATCAGTCACTTGCACCTGAATAAAATTTTGTCACTGTGTCACACACTTATACATTTCCTTTTAGATTATCCCCTGGGAATAGGGAAAGGGCTCTGTCTAAAGGCATTTTGATAACCCTCTGAAAACGCAGGCTTGTGGATTAGAAAGCAGCTCTCTCAAAGCCTCTGGAGGCTCTCTGCTCCCTCAAGTAAAAGGACTTCATCCTATGCTCTTAAAAGACAAAGGATCCCTCAAAAGCTCATTCACTTTTCTTAGCATCCTGAGGTCAGATCAAAACTCTGATGCCTCCTTGCTCCAGGTCTTGAATTTTCCTAATTGGCCTCTTAGTTTGGACTCCTTGTGTGACACATAAAGCAGATTTGGTCTCAAGGATTGAAGCAGGTTTAGATAAGAACCCTTAAGATAACCAAAGTGAGAAAAAAGAAACCAGTGAAGCTAGGCAGATGCTGGGAAAAGGAATCATATTGTTTATCTCCCCTCTAAAAGACCAAATACACAACCATCAAAGACACTTACACTTATCTTCCTCCTTTGTTACTGAGATTGGAGCAACAAGGGCCAGCACTTGCTCCCCTTCTATTCCCTCTTCCCAAGATGCCATTGTCCTTCTGTGACATCACTATTTCCTTTCCTTCCAGGAGCTTCCTTGACTACTTCGATAATATTATGCCCTCATGATCACCTCTAGGGATCATAGTATCCCCAATTCACCTATAGGAAATGGATTCTATTAGGAGGAGTCCCTAGAGTGAGTTAAATGCATACCTTCTTGTTGATGGCCCTATGTTCAAGAGAGGTTTAAAAATCTGGATCTTAAAAAATAAAAAAAATAAAAAAAAATCTGGATCTTCCTGCTAAAATTAGGGAATTCACCAGCAATTTGCTAATCAATCAGAAGCTAGAACTAGGCCTCCTCCATCACTGTGAACTCACACTTGGAAAAAACACCCCCTACCTTTCCCTGTTTCACCAGCTCCTCATTCCTTAGGAGCCAGCTTAATCCTTCCTCCACCAGCCAGACTTCCATCCCATCCCCACTTCTGGATGCCAAAGATCCCAGATGCCATGATCACTCTGAACCAGGTTCCAAAATGGCAGATGATTGTATTTCTTTCTTCAACACCCATCTTATTCTTGGAATGTTTTTTTAAACTATCTGCTTACACACCACTTCCTTCCTACTAGATTATAATCTCTAGGAGACTTTTTAAAGAAATCCACCAAAGTCTAATGAAAGCCTGGCAAAAATGCTATACCATAAAATTCCATGTTCAGCAATTATTTATTGAGTACCAGACACTGCTGGATGCTAGAGAATAGTAATAAGACATGCCAAACATAACTATAAGCATTTTATAAGTATTAACTCACTTAATCCTTACATTGACATTGTGAAGTATATACAATTAGCATCCCTCCAAAGTTGGAAAAACTAAACCTGAGAAAAAGGAGGTTGGGGTTTGAGTACAGAACACTTAGGGCCAGAGTCCACTCATAATCACACACTAAAGTGAATGAAGAATTGAGCTTGGAGGACTCTCCTCTGTAGAGTGTGAACTAATAAAATCCTGTTCCATGTGGATGTTCATTCAGCAGATATTTATTGTCCTGTCCCCAAACTGTATTTCAGATGCTGATCTAGGCCCTGAGGAGCACAGCACTGAACAAGAGAAAACATATCTCTGCTCTGAAGTAGCTCTTCTAAACAGGAAAGATAAACACTACAAAATCAAATTCTAATGATTGCTGAAAAGAACATACAACAGAGATCTGTATGGGAGAGGGAGTCAGGAGAGGGGAGACACTGGATAAGACCCTGATGAGGTAAGACCCTGAATGCCAAGAATGCTAGAAAGACACGCATAAAGGCTCAGGGAAGAAGAATTCTAGGCAGAAGGACCAGAGAGCAAGGGCAGCACGGTGTGTAGTGAGAGTCCCAGACGATTATCCTAGAGAGAAGTGGCCTGTAACTCTGCTCCCAGATTGCATGGTTTTGAGACATCACTTTTAGGGTTCGCCCTGGAAAGGGTATGAAAGATGCTGTTGATCAACTGTTCTAGGGAAGCAGCACAGATTACTGTACCTGATAATTGACCATGTATATCTGTTAAGTCCATACACAGTTGTCATGGAAACAGTTGCTTTTAAGAAAGAATATTTCCATTCAGTTCCATCAACTCTATCCGCTTCCTCAGAGAAGCCCTCCATGACTACCTACCCAGTCTAAGTAGCTGCCCAGGCACCATTTTACCACCCTATTTTCTCTATCTGCAGAGAATTTAATGCTATCTGATATTCTTCTTCATTGGCTTATCATCTCTCTCCCCTAATTAGATTGTGAAGTCCATGGAACAAAGAACTTTGTCAATCTTATCAAGATCCCCAAGACCTAGAAGAGGTACAGAAAAACTCAATAAATATGCTTACCAAGCATGAATATGTGTTGGGCCCATCCTTGAAGCAGGCCTATGAGGCACTGGAGATGAAAGGGGAGGAAATAAAGAGCCCTTGGACTTTCTGGCATACCTGGTGGAACTTACCTGAATCCTGATACCCTACAGAATGAGGTCATTTCTCCGAATCATGGGCTATGGGAAAGTAAAAGGGGTGGAAAGAGATCCCCTGCACTGGGCGGGGATGTAATGAAATGGAAGACTTTCCAAAAAGAACCCTTAAGGATAAGGCCTTGGGGAACAGCATGAGGAAAATCGGGGAAATAGAAAGATAAGAAAAAAGTCATCTTACCTCTTAACTATAGAGAATCAACCAATGGGTACCGGAGGGGAAGTGGGTGAAATAGGGATGGGGATTAAGGAGTGTATTCATTGTGATGAACACCAGCGATTAAAATAGAAACCTCAAGGGCAGCCCCGGTGCCTTAGCAGTTTAGCGCTGCCTTCAGCCCAGGGCCTGATCCTGGAGTCCCAGGATCGAGTCCCATGTTGGGCTCCCGGTATGGAGCCTGCTTCTCCCTCTGCCTGTGTCTCTGCCTCTCTCTCTCTCTCTCTCTCTCTCTCTCTCTCTCTGTGTGTGTGTGTGTGTGTCTCTAATAAATAAATAAAATCTTTAAAAAAAATAGAAACCTCAAAAAATAAAAATTAAAAGGGATGCATGGCTCAGTCATTTGAGTATCCAACCCTCGATTTTGGCTCAGGTCATGATCTCAGGGTCATGGGATGGAGCCCCATGTTGGGAATCCATGCTCAGCAGGGAGTCTGCTTGAAGTTCTCTCTCTCCCTCTCCTTTTACCCCTCCTTTTTTAATCATGAAAAGGCCAATTTGGATGCTTTTTCATTTTTCTCACCTAATTGCTCTGACTAGAACTATAATTGACCATGTATATCTGTTAAAATAAATAATTATTTAAAAAAACAAAAATGAATCATCCTAGCTGGACTTTGGGATTTGGCTTGATAGGTTGGGATGTATAACTTCTGATAGCTCTTTAGTGGCCACTCCTAGATCACCTCAGAGCCAGAGGTTTGGTGGGCTGGGTGGGAAATGCAAAGGAGTCTCAACATAAGAGTCATGAGGTTTTGCCTACCCTCACTACACATGGATCCTCCCAGAGGCAGGGTTCACCTCCATGATAAAAAACACTCAGAAAACTAGGAAAGTGGGACGCCTAGATGGCTCAGCGGTTGAGCGTCTGCCTTTGGCTCAGGGCGTGATCCCGAGTCCCATATCAGGCTTCCTGCAT